GTAATTTAACGGATTACTAACTAAAACTTAAAATTTGTGTTGATAAATGTTAATGTGTTTACCCGCGTATCAATGCGGATTCTAATCTAGTTATATATATAAGATGATATTTTTTTAGAAGAATTTTTTTTTTAATATTCGCAATATTATCCAAAACAACTTACATTTTGAAATGGAGGAAATATCAATTAACAGAATTGGATATTCACATTCATTTTTCGAACCTATAATTATCGACAGATTGAAATTTTGATTCGTAGGAAGCAAAATATTATTTATCCGACCATAAGCGGTTAAACGTTATGTTAATATACGCTTAGCCGCTTACATGTATTTCTTGCGTCCAATTTTATATGCTACTACTATATATACACTATTGTAAATATACTGTAGACTACAAATCATTGATAATGAATGCAATTAGCCATCTACAGAAACTTTTGGCATACATTGGTCTGTCTTGGATAGATCGTACCGGCTTGTCTGGCTGGGTTTCGTACCTAGAAATGGGATATTTTTGTCTTTCGGTATTTAAGCTTACAATTTATTCGTGTCACAATTCATTCGCTATGATTCGTAAACACATGCGAATTTTTTTTTGTTAGAAAAGAAGAATAAAATATGAAATTTTCATATCATTGGACAAGCTTATAAGTGGACCGTGGTGCAGGAAGGGCCATGTATTTAAATAATTATAACATCTGTATTATTCTTAATTAGGATAAATAAGTGAGATTGCTCTTGCCCGAAGCTTATCCTTAAATGGAAAGACGATAAGAAAAAGAGATAAGCCCGCATTTTAATAACTTTATAAAAAAATATCTTATTATTATACACAATAATCAAACAAATATGCCGCCCAGATGACCTAATTATATTCCGCCACGTTATAGTTTGTTGCAAATATTCTTTAATAACCACGACGTATCTTCATTAAGCAAAACTCTACTTGACTTTATCTTAAAAGTTCAGGAGATTATTTCCAACAATACTGAAGATAACATTGAATAATAATCGCTTAAGTTTTATCAATAGTTAAATAAATGAACGAATCTTTTGATTGCGGTCACAAATTAGGGATTTATACACTTACTATAATTAGAAATGGTTTTTGTGTTTAACCTCAGATTAAAAAACTCTTTTTATTACCAAACCCATTACGACCTCTGAAACATCTCTGTCAAACAGACAAAAAAAATTGAAAAACAAAAAAAACAGAAAGATCAATAATAATATTTAAAACTTCATTTGATATCGATTACATGTTAGAATAACTTACTATCATAACAAGATTTTTTTAAAACGGTTAATCCTCATATTTTTTCCCAAATTAAAGTATCCTAATTTGCTTAATTTTTTTTCTCAAGAAGACGAAGACCCATCAACGTTGTCTCCTCCGTTGTTGCAGTTGTGAGTGTTGAGACAAAGACGATTCGAGATCTCTCTGTTCTTTCCATTAAGAAGTGAATACTTATTATTATGCATCCACACTTTAAGAACACCTCTCTCAATCCCAATCTCGTTACAGAAATCTCTCACCGACTTTTCATCACAACCGTTGATTTTCCAACCAGCTTTCTCGGCGAAAGATCTCATCTTCATCTTCTGCTCCGGTGTGAACTTAGTCCTCGTACGTTTCCTCATTGCTCCTTTTGAGCTGTTCTCCGATCTTACACCAGTCGTCGGATCTTGATCTGAAGTCGGTCCAGGGAAACCGGAGCTGAGAGAGAGAAGCACGTGATGTGGTGGAGCTGAAGTGTAGTAAGAGCAAGGAACAGGTGAAGCCACGTGGTGAAGCGACGGAGACGGCGGAGATTCCGTGCCGGAAGGAGATGAAAACGGCGGCGCAGGGAGGAAGCTGAGATGGTCGGAAGGGTCACGGCGGTGGAAGTTACGGTGGCAGCCACAAGCGGCGCACCGGAGAGAGGAAGGATCGGTAGGAGTTGCGGTGTTGCTCGGCATAAACTCGCCGCAACCGTCGAGCGCGTGACCGCCGAGGTTAGCTGCGTGGTTTTTCAGACACTCTTTGTAAGAAACACCCATTTCTCCGGCGACGGTTAGTTCTCCGGCGACGGGAGAGTAGTTTGTAGTTGTTTGTTTGGGTTTGGGAGATAAATCCATGGCTTTAGTTTTTGTTCTTGCTTTATAGTGTGTTTACACTTTATGATTAACGAGAAGATTAAAAGATTAGGTTTTGTAGGGTTTTTTGTTTTCATTTTTTAATATTAAAAGATTTAATTAAGTAAGTGCATGTGACGATGATGTAATTATATCGGTAAAGAACATGGCAGGAGTGATGAAATATACTCCAATTAGGAGTTGAAAAATGTAATAATTGCTTACTCACAAAATTCCAAAACGAAACAAGAAAAAGAAAGAATACACTTCACTGTATATATCAAAATGAAAAACTTTTTACTTTTTTCTTGTTTTGGTGAAGCAATGAATTTTTTTGAATATTTTAGACACTAGTTTTCTTGATGTATATTCATACGTTATAGACTATATAATATTGGGTCGTATCACAAGCTTTTCTTCAATGATTTTACGGGACATTTGTAAGGTATGGGTTTTTCACTTTTCACACCAGTAGAGAGGTAACTTGTTGGTGAAACTAAAAATATTAATATTAAAAAAAAGTAAATTAAATAAGGAAGGAATATATTCGAAAGAGAAGGAAGGATTGAGTCCAAAGTGTATACGTGGCAAATGCCCATTACATGCATCGTACTAAAGGACAATTACAGCTGCCCTGCAATCGTTTTTTAAAGTTCACGTCAGAGACCCATAATTTTGTAAAATTTGCAGTCTCACCCCAGAAGTTCTGCTATGTTACGTTTTGACATTTTTCTAATTTGATTTTTCTTTTGTCAACGGTCAAATAAGGACCATTTTCTTATTTAATACAATCGTAATTTTGAGTTTATAGATCTAGAAAAGTAAACTTTCCTATAACGATAATCTAACAAAACAATAAAGATGATTTTGTTCCCTTTCTAATATAGGTATTACGTGTTCTAATAATACCTTGACTTGTAAAAATGCACTACGTGTTTTTTGTATACCGAGAACACCTATACTTGTTTCACATGAATGCTTCGTAATACTAAAACAATAGTGGGGCAAAGAAGAGATTTTGCTGTGACAATTGCCAAACATTCAATGTTTGCACTTTAATCATAAAATTTAAAATGTGTAATTTCCTTAACCACTATCTGTAAAGACTCTTATCTCTTCACCGACCTCTTCTTCTCACTTCTTGTCATTACTGTAACGCCGCAATTTAATCAGTCTTCCTTTGCATTTTGCTTACGTTATTGATTAGCTTTGGGTCGCAATTATGTTCATATGTCCTTCTCTTCTAAGCACATCCAATTATTTCTAATTTTAATCACCATGTAATTCACATATCCGAAAAAAATTATTTAGTTCTTGGCCGGCGGTGAACAATATATATCGCTCAAGTAGTGTAGTACTGTTTAGTTGAAATTCTGCTGATGGTTATTATTTTGTTAAAGTTAAATTTACAAGTGTGTTAATGATGGAATTTCTATAACAGTAGTTATTTTGGTAAGCTACTAGCCAGGTAGAAGATAAGAAAAACATGTTTGATAGTTACGCGGATTATAATATTTTATATGGATATACATTCAATTAAAAAATGAATGTATAATGCATGGTAATATATTTATACGGGTCAATTGTAAAAATAACCAAAAAAAAATTAATAACTAAAAAAAATAACAAAACTAGTATGTGTGGTCAAATATCAACCCTTATATTTATATTAAATGGTTAGAATTTGTATTAATTTTTTTTTTTGTTTGGTTATAGGATGCAATTTCCCTATTTATATTTGACCATCCCAAAAAGTGAGTAATACATGATTATATGCACTAGATAAATAAAAATATGTTATAAAATACATATAACTCCGTGGGGGTGATTCGTGTTATGATTTTAAAAGTTTTAGAGATTTTAAAATAAAATAATAGTTTTAAAAGTTAAATTTTTGCCAATTCTACTTTTACTGTCTTAAAATCTCTCACAACCGCTACAATCTCACAGCCATTTTCTTTTTTTTTTTGTTCTACGTTCCTGACTTTTTTTTGTAAAATTTATAATAGATGATTTTTTTCTTATAAAAATTTACAGCCCTAATTTAAAAAAAAATAAAGTCACAGCAAATAATTTTACAGTCACAGTTTAGAGTAAAAGTCCTATCCAATCACCCTCATAATTATGTATTGTGATTATCTTTTAGCTGTGATGAACCCCTCAATTTAGATTAAAAATTAATTCAAATGAAACAGAACTCATCCTAAACAATTGAAAGTATCACGTTTAGAAAACCAAACTCAAATGCATTAAAACGAAATACCTAAACAAAGGCATCAACAACGAATTTGTCTGTCTTCTTCTCATTCCATAGAGAAATTCTGAGGTTACAGGACATGAATATGTTTAAGCTAGAGTTCCTAAATCCTTACTTGACTTAATCCATTGACCACATTCACAACATATATGCTTCTTGTTTTCTCCTCCTTTCACGAGGGCCATTATCATAGCTCAGTCATCTTGTTCGTCTTCTTCCTCAAGATCATATTTTATGGTTTCATCCTTTTTTCTCCATTTCCCTCTATAGTTTTTTTTTTTGATCACCTTCCCTCTATAATTTTCATTTTTCATCTTTAAAAGCTTAGATCTTTTGAATTTGAATTTTGATAAATCTAAATATTTGTCTCTCAAATGAGAATTGTAGTATGATTTTGTATCCTCACAATTGTTCCATTGATCGATATCTCGTAATCATAAATTAAAACAAAACTAGGGTTGGAGTTGAGGCCGTTTGGTTTAGTTGACTTGGGTCGAAAAAATCCCATTAATGTAGGTCCTTTCTCAATTCGGGTTGGGTCGTGTTCTATTCATTTAATTGACTCTTAATCAAAATTTAATTCTATGAAAATTGTTAAGTTAATGGAAATAGTTTACGATATATTTTTCTTCATTCGTGCATTAGTATATGTAGTCATGTGATCATTTGACCCAGAAAAAAAGTAGTCATGTGATCAATGATCATCATACATTTTTTAATAGTATATGTAGTCATGTGACGGTTACTAATTCATGTAACTAAAGAACTCTGTTCTTTTAAAAAAAAAGAAAATCTAAACAACGATTTGGGTCGCGATAACATAGAAACTACAACAGAGTAACTTAATTGTACTGTATTTTTTGTTTGCTGGTGCATTTCACACCCATTACACTAATATTAATGTAGTTAGACATTTTTTTTACATGCTAGTTCGTATAAGCTAGACGTTTTATTATTTCACAAATACTTTCCCACGATAATATTTTTGCGTTCAGAAATAATAAATATATTAATTACAATAGGTTCTACGTTTTGTCGTTTGTTACAAACCTAGTCACCAATCACGCTTGTCGTTTGTTAATCAGAATAAAAATCGCAACTATCAACGATATTTGACCACACAATAATAATAACAAACGGGTGTATAATTCTGCTAATAATTTCGTTGACAAGACATTGATTTAAGAATTTACTTAGCTTTTACAATTAGAATCTTTAAGTTGAAAATGATTAAAAATCGTGGGTCAAAACATCATCATAAATTCGGATTAGAACAAAATGTCCTAACGTAACGATCTTATCAATGACCAAAATGGCACGCGCATCACGCAATTCGGCCACTAGGGCTGGAAGAAAAAGTTAAGTGTAGCCCAAATTTTAGATTTCATAATTATGGGGCCATTTTCGCGTATCATATTTTTATTGGACTTCTTTATTAATAAATAGACATTTTTTACAAACAACCGAATAATCACTTTTAAATACAAAGGTATTTTATATAATTTTCTGCAAATAAACCTTTCAAATAGTTAAAA